TATATATATATATATATATATATATATATATATATATATATATATATAAAATTAAATAATTAAATATAGTAATAATTTTCTGCTCTCATATGAATTCCAATTATGTGACGTAAATATAAAGGAAAAGAACATATTATGTAACTGTTATATTAATTATTTAAGATATATTTTTTTCAAAAAACTTTTTATGAATTGTATAGTGTATAGTGTCGGTTGCAAGTCGATTTGCACACTTTTTATCGAATAAAGTTGTAGTATTTTAAGTCGTCAAAATTGAAAGCTATATGTATACACAGTAATTGATTATAAATATGCAAGAAAAGAATTACTTCTCAAAATATTGTAAATACTCAATAATGCACTCAAAATAATATACAAAATGATATACCCTTAATTTAGAATAAATTCTTTCTTCTAAGTTTCATAAATATCGTACTTTAGATTGTCACTTCGGCTCCTGTCATAACCGATTATTATCATCAACATTAATGATATTTCGGTGAAAGGGATTGTTATTGACGACAATAACAGTGATGTTTTCTGATGATTGTTACTGATGATTGTTACTGATGATAGTAACACTCGATAATAGTACTGAGAGATGACAATAATTCCTCAAGTTTAGTTTAATTAACGTGACAATAAACGAACCAAATGTATTTTGATTGAAAATTACGGAAGTTCTGGTTTTTAGAACCAAATTTGTTTTATAAGAATCAGAGATTATGTTTCCTTCAACGAAAAATTGATTCAATAAATTTATTTGTGCAACAGTTCTTTTGCAAATTTGACAAACAATGCAACGCGATCGACACAGTTACAACTGCCCATCCAGAAGTGTAACGAATATTTCTTCTGCAATTCCTACAGACACACATATAAAGCAGTATTGTACGTTACACGATAGTTATTAATCAAGATAAAAATTTCTTCCCGTACTCTGACATTAGATATAACAAGCAATCCAAACTGCAGCGTTGAAAATACACATATCAATATGACATTTTATTTTGCTGATATTTTCTCGTACTTACGGTAAATTCATCACATTACAACATATATTTAATCAAACTATTCGTTTATATAAATTTTGGCTTCAGCACAAGTATATCTCCCAATCGCGCTATATAAATCTTGTAAATTATACATATACAGAAGAACAGCATCGCGTTAGTCTACGTATAAATTTAGTTGTGCCAATTAGATTCAGTAGTAAAATAAGGAACAACTAATTGTGTGGTTGTTATAATTACAGTGCTATTACTGAATTACAATGACGATATTTGGTTGCCCCAAGTTTTAATACAGTTGAATGTAGGACCAGAATGTAGGGAAGACCGGGACTAAATGCTCCATATTTCAGAATTTCGAAGTTACAACTTCTCAAACAACTAATTGTTGTAACTATACAAACATGATAAAGACGACCTTCTTCTATATGTTACCCGCTATGATTCTGTTAACCGTATATTTTATTTTGTAATAATCAAAATGCAATAACGTGGCTATTTTTTCTTAGTACCGGATTCAATTGCCCAGTAGTGCAGAATAAAGAAGGCCACACCTAAAATATATCTTGATTAGTAGTTCCAGAGTCTTCCCAACCTTTCTGCCCCCACTTCCCTTCCCTTCTGCTGGCCTTCAATTATGGGTCAACTTTACCTCGTTCGCCCTTATGTTCAATTTCAATCATTTTGTGAATAAAAATTGTTTTTATCATCCGAAAGTGCATATATCATACCCTTGCAAGAAACTTCATTTTAACTAATTACATCGTTAAACTTTATTCACTTATGATAGAGAATATTAATATAAAATTTTGAGAAGCTTAAAATTTTATTTTGTTATTATTAAATTTTTGTCATTTTTTTCTATTTTTAAACTGTAATATTATTCCAGTTTTAATAAAACTCAAGAATAATATCTATGTTTCTCTGAATATTTCTGATTATGTATACTATATGTTTTTTTTCGTGTACTATTAATATACTATATTACTCAACAAACATTTTCTATTTCTATTTAAACCACTTCGGCGACGTGTCCGCCGAGATGAACAACAATGCGTTTGTCATGTGGACGTATCGATTCGTCGAAATTCCTGAAAAACGACAAGTCATATGGCCGGAGTGATGCTCCACCGGAAGAGAATTTTTCCGCAGCTGACAGTCGTGACTTTTTGCTCCGCAGACTATCGAGAAGCTGCCGGACAAAGTGTTGCTGAACATCTTCAGTTATCTGTCCCATCGCGAGATATGTCGGGTCGCTCGTGTTTGCAAACGCTGGCGGCAAGTCGCGTACAACACGCTTCTCTGGAAGCACGTGTCGCTGAGACCAGAAATAAGCGGGCTTCACGTGAGCTCTCTGGAGAGCTTGCTGCATTTAATCAGGTAATACAAGGTTACGGCACGACGCGTGATCCATGCTCTCTCCTCGGGCGACTATCGCCTTTCCTTACGTAAACGCATTTTCCACACGGAGAAAAATAATTTTGCTCTTTTAACAAAATCGTTGCTACTGCATATTCGTAGTGACATAAAAAAAATTTATTTGACGTAACTAATTTTACAAATTATTTGTTATCAGAGCAGAAGTAGTTTCGTTGCCAGGATAGAAAAAATTTGTTGAGTGTATTTGTCCTAAGAATCACGTTAATTTGCTATTGATGCAAAATAATGTATCCTTAGCAAATTTATTTGCTATCGGAGCAAAACTGCAACTGCTTATATAAATCCATCATGCAAAATAATAATTCTTATAGCAAAATAATTTGTAAATTCAGCAAATTATATCCAGCAAATAGTGATTAGTACTCTTAGAAAATGTTTTTACTGTCCATATAATAACGAAAAGAATTTGTTAGACCAGCAGAAAATTTGCTGGGCCAGCAAATTATTTTTCTCCGTGCACAACACGTTATAGGAGGAGAATGAATTTAACATGTAGATTTTTGTTGATTTATACAGAAGCTTAATTAATGATCGAATTACCAAAGATACAGTAAATAAATATAATTCGGGAGACGCGTGTATATTTAATTTCGTCTTGTGAGCTCTCTATTAGTAGTATAATTGACTTTTCAAATATAGCTTAATAAGATTTCAGTTTAATTACTGTGAAATTATAATCACGATTTAATTACAAATCAGCGACCAAAACGTACGTTTGTAACAAAAATACATACGTCACTTCGACACGCAACTCCGTGAAAAAAAAAATCGTAGAAACCTCTTTTTTTTTAATTTGCAGGAGAAATTAATTTTACGGTGGTTATTACGAGTTTCGCGAAAAAGAATTTACTCCGCAGAATGCGGCAAATTATGCAATTATTCTGAAAATGTCATATCTTTACTTTTGAAAAAAGTACTTTACTCCTTAAAGTTACTCTTGAGGATGGAAACAAAAATTTTTAAATACGACTATTTTTCGCGGAGCTATGTTTATTTGAAGTTATACGAAATTTTGACATGAATTTACCTATGCGATAAATGTGTTGGCGAATGTATATATTACAATATTATTGTTGACTAAATTATATTCTGGTTCACATACTATTTACCGCGTATCAACTCATAATAGTCTCCTCTCTTTTTTTACTTTAATATTGATTACTTGTACTTTTTTGCATCTAATTCAATATTATAATGCCGGCAACACCGTCGAAACCATCACGTGTTAATCGCAAAAAAAGTCACGATACGTGGACTCAACTCTATATACGACCTAAAAAAAATAGTTAATCTCACTAAAATCATAATTATTTTCGACACCAATTATATATTTTTGTTGTGCTAACAAAAGAATAATATCAGCAATATGTACATATAGTTATTAACACTCTAACGGTATAATATATAGAAAAAATTAGTATATACTTAAAATTAATATATTCAAATTAATAATTGTTTCATACATAAACAACGATATATAACTTTGTTAGAAAAATTTTAAAGTCTTGAATTTCCATAATGTTTTCTTTTTTTAATAATTTTGTTTGAATGTTTGTTTGAATAATATAACCTGGAAAAAAGTATATATATAATCATATAAAAATATATATGATTATATATTATATGATTATATGATTATATATAATTATATATGAATTTTTTATATATGTAATCCTACATATCATCATATCTAATTGTACATGTCCATACATAAAAGTATTGTCGAATGAAAAAAGAAAAACATAATTTGATTCAAAAACGTAGACATCATGGGTTATCATAAATATAAATATTTACTTCAATTGTATATTCACAATAGCATTCTTTTTAATGTGGATATATATATATATATATATATATATATATATATATATATATATAT